GCACCACGCAGGCTCAGTTAGCAACCAGTTACTTGGGAAGGAAAACGAGGGAGGTTCAGACAAATGACGGCTCACCTGTCCAACAACGTTGAACCTGGAAGCAGTCACACGGACAAAAAAAAACAGAGAGACACACGTACATTAAGTTAGATTAGACTTAGAGGCTGAAAAGAAAGGAAATGTATTGGAATCAAGTATAATATAGTACAGTGCATCAACAACGTGATGGGAACTTAATTTGTTGGCTTCATCGGGGTTTTAAAGAGAGAATGAATACCAGGGGAGGTGTCGCTGTGTTCATCGCTAAAGGTCCTTGTCCCAAATCTCAATCAGAGCCTACCTACTACTAGGAGTAGTAAAGTATACGAGTAAATTACCGAGTGAATGCGATATGGGATCATTGACATTTGACAACTCCCCAAACAGAGTATTACTAATTCCTAATCCTCTATGTAATGTACTGTAGTAGGTAACTGAAGCAACCGTTTACTGAAAGGCTGATGATGATTGTTTCACTAATTAATTCCTGACCATATACGGAAGTACTACCTCTTGTCAAATTTTTAAAAATCTGCCAGGGGTCTTGTCTTTCGTTAGAAAGGAACCAAGTTTCCCACACCCTTGTTTACAGAAATGACAAATTTAGTCCCCAGAGCGGCAGGGCAGTGTCCTTCCTGCATAGTAAGGTCAAACAGCGCATATTGACCAATGACAACATGGTTCCAAATCCAAATTAAGAAGAAAAAAAAAGACCCCATTTTTCTCAATCCTAACAAGTCGTCCATCCCCATTTGGCGAGCTCAATCAAACAAGTAAAGCAATTCCATCCATGAGGAAAAATGGAGAGAGAGAGAGAGAGAAAGAAACAAAAAAGAAGAGAAACATGCCAAGTTGCATGTCGCTCACGCCGTTGCGGTGTCACACCAGAAGGAATCAGGGAAAAGCAACAATATTGTAATCACACAGACACACACAACCAAGCAGTTGCAGTTCACATGATCCTCCCCGGGCCTTCTCCAAAGTTGGGCGTACCCGGTGCAGAAGCTCCCGTTTTGCGTGGGGTGCTTTACCCTTACCTGTATAATGCGAGAAGACTACGATTCAAACTTGGGATCTTTCGGTCACGTACACGGTAAGACTCTACCGATTGCATCAGACCCGCCGTTCTCCAAAGTTGAACCGTCCAAAATTCCCAATTCCTAATAAAACTAGACAAGAAACCCGGCGATCGAGCAGTCCTCCGAAAAAAAAACGCAACGCGCGCGGTGGATAACGATCGATCGATCGAGACGCATGCTTTGAACGGTAGTTAGCGTACCATCCGGTGATCCAGGAGGCGAAGGGCGCCCATCGCTTGCCGGAGAGGCGCGCGCTCCAGTAGTAGAGGCCGCCGGAGGTGGGGAAGGAGGAGCAGATCTCGGCCATGGAGGTGCCGACGGCCATGGTGAAGGCGCCCGCGACGAACCAGCCGAACGTCATGGTGGCGGGGCCTCCGAAGTTGAGCCCCGTGTTGTAGAGCGTCGTGATCCCCGTCAGCACCGAGATGATGGAGAAGGAGAAGGCGAAGTTGGACAGCACCCTGGCAAACGAACAAACCAGCGTGCCGTCGCCGTCGTCGATCAAACGAAAGATAGAAAGAAGGCGATCGTCGACGGAGGTGACGAGGGAGGGACGTACGAGAGGTCGCGCTTGAGCTCCTGCTTGTACCCGAGCTCCCGGAGGCGCGCCAGGCCGGTGTCGTCGCTGCCGTGGTCGACGGCCACGGCCACGGCCACGGCGGGGTCGTCCCGGCGCTACTGCTGCCGCCGTCGGCCGCCGGGGACCTGTTCCACGTCATGGCGCGCGGCGCGTCGGTCTTGATAGCTCTGTGACTTGGCTGTGTGCTGCGGACTTGGTCGGCTGCAGTAGGAGACGGTGAGCTTGAGGCAGGGGAGGACGCCGCGAGGATTTATCGGTGCCGCTACGAGGATATATTGGAGGAGGAATCAGGAATGGGAGGGGAGACTGACTGCAAGGGAGAAGGAAGCGCGGCCGCTGCAGTCAACTCGAAAGTGCGCTGGGCCCCCGAGATAACGGGCACCAGATGTGGCTGTTGGGATGGGTTCGTTAAACTCCTTTTAATTTTACTCTTAGTCGGGACACACAGATTCTGTCCAACTGGACGATGATGGATCTGCGACAGCAACGAGATTCCCTGCCCGTAAGGAGGAGGATGGGCATGACTGACCTCACCATATGGCACACGCAGGGGTACATCTGTAGTACATGACTCCCAACTGGTGCAACCTTTTCCTAATAAGACCAAAATTCATATCTAAAATCTACACAGTGGAGATCAATGAGTACAAGATGGGGGGATAACTCATATTTTTTATATATACCAGGTGGCGCACAAGGGACGACACGTCCAAGAGAGACATGGCGTGCCACGGCCATATGGCATGCAAAAAGACACATGGCGTGGTGTGTGTCACACGATGCATTTTTGTAAGCTTTGTCAACTTTATTGCAGCACGACCTAAGTTATGTCCCGTGCTTAAAAACACAAGGATTTCATTTGTCTAATACAATGGAAGTGGCTTCTTCTCCGTCGCCGTTTTCTTCGCCCCGGGGTCTGTTAGGGAGCGGCGACGCTAGCTCAGGGTGAGGGCGTATATGTAACTTTAGCCTTAATCCATTGTTTATGCTTTGGTTTTATTTTATGTAATTTTCCAGAGTCAGAAACATCTCGTCAACAAAACACTAAACTAATACCGACCAAAGATTCCTAATATAAAATTCTGTATATAGCTGGCTACTTAATAATGTGATTATTCTCAGGAAATATTACTGGATACTCCATATCTCCAGGCGGAATCCGTTATCTATGCAAACAAATGAAGAATCAAGCTGACTGCCATACTTTGGTTGTGTTTCTTAATTACAGTAATTTCTGCGCGATTTGCTCTCTGTTCGTTTGGGCTCGTTTGGCTGAAAGTGCGGTTGACTGATTTGGTGTGAGAAAAAATACTGTTCGTTGACTGAAAAAGTACGGCTTATAAGCCAAACAAGCTTAAGCGAACATGATGCTGGAGTCCAAAGCCTGCGCACTGGTTCTTCCTTTTCCATGTGCTGATGTGGCCGATTGGTGTGCGTACAAGGTGATAGGATTCTTTGTATTTGATTTTACATGATTCGGGATTCGGTTCGGCACGCACGCTTTACATGTACATCCCTATTTCTCATTTAATACTCACTCCATTCCTAAGTATAGATGGTTTTGACTTTTTTTGTTATGTAGATTTTGCTACACAGCAAAATCAATGTATCAAAAGAAGTAATTTAAAATTGAAGGAATCTCTACCTAACAACAGTACTATCTCTCTATCTAAAAATATCAAAAGAATACAATTCTAGCATATCATCACGTTACTAAAACACAAACGATTTTCAGATGCATCGTAACGGTTGAATAAAAAACTGCCTTTATAAATACTTTTAGAAACATACATCCTCAAAGATCATATGGCACACGCAGGGGTGGAGCTCATGCGAGTATTTGCGAGTTCGATTACACACGTATTTCATGCAAAACATCACGCTACTTATGGCTCGCGACCACATCATAGTACTTCACAAGTGGGTTTATCTTGGGATTTTTATGGCCAATTTACAATTTCTAGAAAATAATAAAGACGGGCCACATTATCAACTAGCCCTAAATCCATTTATAGGGACGGTTTTATGTCACTCTTAGAAATCATTGATTCCTAGAGGCCCCTTAAGTAGAGCTAGTCGCACAAAAATTATCTCTAAAGGCCTTTTGACCATCCGTACGGATGTTTTGTGTAGTAGTGGTAGTGAGTCAAAGCATTTTTAGTATGACCAAGTTTATATGGAAAATATTAATATTTATGATATGAAATAAGTGTAGTTAGATTTTTTATGAATATATATTCTAATAGTATATCTATTCAGTCTCATAAGTATTAATAGTTTTTTTTCTGTAGGTATGATCATATTTTAGATAGTTTGACCAGAAGAAAACTAGGATTACATCTTCTGCAGTTGAAGATGGCATCCCTGTTCGATTGATTGAGATACGAACGATGCGATCGGACGATCTCATTGGCAGGCAGGTATGGTCGAGTATATACTAATATAAAAATGCTGTATTATAATCTGTATCATTGAGATGCGGATGGCCGCTGGCTGGGTGGATCATGTGGCGATCTTGTTGCCTGCGTATCAGGTACAGATCGATACAGGCAAACCATGCATCGATCGGGCACGCGCCGCAGCAGCTTCTGGGTCAGCGGATCGGCATGGCCAGCGGCACGAACGGGACGGCCGGCAAGTCGGATCGTCTCCACCGTGGCCTGAGGAGATCTCGGCATCGGCAGGCAGGCAGATGACGGCGACGTACCAGCCGAACCGGGATATGCCGAGATGGAGATGGGAGGTCGGCGCGCGCGGCCGTCCGTGCAGAGAATAGATACGATGACCCGTCGTCAGGTCTCTCCGTGTCATCCAGCAGCAGCGGCGTGGCGTGGCGTGACACTATGAGAAGCCGCGTTCGGGTCACGTACGGAAAGTATATATATGCGTGAGTGACTTGTGGAGCACCGCTAGCTTATGGCATCCACGGTGAATGCTATCGATTTCGATAATGATGTGGAGCAGTTTAGGCATACCCTGTAATTTAATACTTCGCCTTTTTCTAAATTATAAGGCATTTTGGATTTTTAAGATTCGTAGTTTTCCTACACAACTATGTTATATACATAATAAAAACTGTGTATTTGGTGAGATTCCGGGGTGACTCAGCTCCGCCGCCGAACCCACCCCCACCTCGATAGCTCTCCCGGCCGCCGCCGCCGCTCTCCGGCTAGCGGTGGCGGCGGCCCACGGCGGCGCCCAACAAGGCTCACCCCGCGGTTCTTTCCAACCCCTCCCTCTCCTCCCTCTTCCTCATATCGAACTCAGCTTTTCGGAGAGAAGGACAGTCAGCTACGAGCAAGATGACCGGCGTCGGGCAAGATCCATGGCTTTCGAGCACAGATCCGGTGCCCACCGCCCTGGATCTGAAGCGGCTGGGTGGCGCGCCGTCAGGTAGGGCACCCGCGGGCTGCACGACGAGATCCGCCGCTCGGGCTCCGCGAAGGTTTCAAGCGCCAGGTGCACGGCGTCAGCATCTTCGAAGGTGCCTGGCGACCGACGCCAAGAGGCTCCTGATCCGCCAGTGCCAGATCCGGCGGGTCCGACTCCAGCAAAGGCTACGCCTCCGGGACCAGCACCAAGGGGACCCGGCGGTGGTGCCGACGCTAAACCCGAGGCTGCCATGGCCGGCGTGGCGCCGTTGGCGTCAGGGGCTGTCGCGTTCCACCCGCCCTTCGCGCAGCTGTGGATGGTGCCCGCTCGGCCTGGTCCTCGCCGGCACCCCGCCCATCGTCTGCCAGGCACCCCGCTTCAGTTCCAAACCTCCAGGTGTGCCATGCAATGCTGGGCCTCATTGGCTATGGCGAGGCACGCCCAACTCAGCAGTGCCAGATGGGCCATCCGCCGACGCCTGCCTTGGTCGAGCGGTGCGACCGGCTGGGGTGCGTGCGGGTCCCCCAAGAGGCGACCAACGTCCGCATGACCAGCGAGGCCAACCTCACTGCCGACGAACACAGATCCGTGCGGTGCTCATCCGGCGACGGCCACTAGCGGTGGGCAGGGTGTCGTGCCCCGCTCATCTACGCCCTCGAGCGCCTGCTTGCTACGGTTGCAGCCGGCCTGGTTTCGGGCCTTGGGCGGGCCGTTGTTGGCTGAGGCGAGCCCACGGCGACCGGATCTAGCACGGCTTCCGGCAGCGGCGCACGCAGGCTCCAACGAAGGTTTCCCGCACCTGTAGGCCGCGTGAAGTCACCTCTGCAGCGCGGCGTGGCCGCCCGTGATGGGTGCGGTGTGCGCGGCCTCCATGGCCCCTGCTGCCGGTCCCCCCCCCAGTCTCTGCAACCATTTGGAAATCTGGGTGAAAACCCTGTCCGCTTGTTGCGCGAGGCCAGTGACGATGGCACAAAATGGCGTCATATCCCTCCATGGAGGCGTTGCTGTAGATTTCCATCCCTACTATCGTGGAAGCCTTCCTAAGGTTACTACATCAATAGGGCAGGTCTTGGGGTGAAAGCCCTTACGAGCCAGGTGCTCCGATCTTCGATGGTGGCGTTTGTGGATGTCACTTCCCTTCTTGAAGGGATCGAAACGAGCACGCCTGCTTTACTCTTCGCCTGGCGCGTCCTTGTGCTCTCTCCAGTCGCTCTCTCACCCCCATCTTGTTTTTGGTCTGACTACCCTCCTGCCCTTTGGCTCTTGCACACACAGCTTGCTGGCCGGTGCTCACTATCAACTGCTTGCTCTGTTGTCCTCTAGCTCACTTGAGTGCCTCACCTCATCATATGCTGGGTTACGTGGAACTTGACTCTCTCCTCTGGATCTCATCGTTCTCCCTCAGATGGTCCTCCCCCTTTGAGGCCTCCTTCCCTCAAATGGCGTTGGTCGATGTCAGTTTGAGCCCAGATGCGCTCATAGGCGATGCTACTCACGGCTGCTGTCTGTGGGATTCGACTCAATATCTTATAGCCTCCTAGCTATCGTCTGTCGGATCTTACTCAATGCCTTACAGCTGCACGTGGTTTAGAGTTCTTCGGAGTTTGTCATTGATGGTGGCATATGTTAGGAAGTAGTGTTTGCATTTGCTCCGGCTAGTAGGTTGAGTTGGTAGCTGAACCATGTTGTAGCTGTCGTTGTATTATGTTGGTGTTGGTGTTGTTGTCATTGTCATCTCTCCCTCCCCCTCTCTTTGTATCCTGTTGGATTGGCACCATGCCCTTCCACCCCTGGCTTTGACCAGCATATGTGGAATGAAAATTCAGGTGGAGAGATCTTACTGCCCCGGTGTTGACCCTAAAAAAATGTGTATTTAGAAATGCTAAAATATCTTATAATTTGGAGCTAATGGTACAGCAAACACTTCTTCCTATGCTCTCTTCTTACTGGTCGTGAGAGCAAAACGCTAAGGTCCATCATACCCACCCGTTCCCACCTTCCGTGCTAGCGTTATCCTACGAGCTGTTTTTCTCACTCTTTCTCCTCCACGTCGATTTCAGAGCATCAAATCGCTGGCTCCTGTCTCAAACCATCTTGTTAGGAACGACCTTAGCTTGTTGAGAAGACAAAAATGAGAACCAACGCACTTTGACACGTTATTACTATAAGGTTGTTCGTTACACGCCACTGTTTTGCCATGTTCCAGCCTACGACGACACCACAAAATCACGGTTCATGTTTGGTTGATGGAAAAAGCTTAGACAACCATGATAAAAATATAGTAGGAACTTAGCACAGGACGTGGCATTGGTGTTTTGGTGCCACAGCCGTGACATGACTACATGAGATGTGGCAGACTATGGCTCATGCCAAACAATCCCTAAGTCGCCCAGCTTGATTCGATTTTTAGATTGGGATAGTTTCAAAGATATGAACGATGTAGTCTAGCTAGCGCGCACATGATACATAGAATGCTTAAACACTCAATACACTCCCAGATAAATCAATTTTGAGTGTTGTCTTGAGTCAAACTCTTTTATGTACGATCAAATTTATGCAAAATGGCATCAAATTAATATCATTAGATACATCACAAAATATGGTGCAATAGCATGTTTATTTAGTATCGTATATGTTTGTGTTACTTTCAGTAAAATTTTAAAAATGTCTCACTGAAGACGACTATCTTGAAATTAATTTAATTATTTGGAGAATGATGAAGTATTATAAACCTATACCTATGTAGTACGGACAACACAACTACAGACAACTGGATGTTTGTTTATCGTTTGATAGAATCGTTTGAACAAAAGTTCCCATTTCGGTACTGGTACGACACAAAGATGAGAAGCGGTAAGGATTTTATTATTTACTTTTATTAGTGGCAGGCCGGCCCCACGACGAGAGAGACACGTACAGCAGCTATGGTGTCGAGCTGAGGTCGAGCCTGAGTTTCAACGGTCGTGTCGTGGGCAAGGAACGGCGGCGCAGCGTTCCTACTACGGGGCCGGCAGCGTGCAGCGTGGATCTTGCTTGCACGTGCGGCCGTGCCCAATATATATACTCCCTCTGTTTTTTTATTAGATGTAAAAAATGACGGAGGGAGTAGCAAAGCAGCAGCTTCGGAACGCGATGTATGGTCAACGAACCATTCAACGAGAGTACATGGTGATTATTTTGCCACGATGTACGATGACTAGTCAATTTGGGTTGCAATGGCAGACTGAGCTATAGGTTAGCTTTTTTTTAATGTTGAAAACTGACGATCATCAAGATTTAAAAGTCGTCTAGGATATAAGCGGCAGGTCCCTCCACTAATATAGATAGGAGTAAGTCAAGAAGACTGCCTCCTACCCTAATGTGAACGATTGTGTTCATATTCGTCGGGAAAGAAGAAGAAGAAGAAAAAAAACCAATGGGAGGGGTGCGGCCAAAATGAGACGCGATCTTTGCTAGGACGATACGGCAGCACATTCGGCAGCCGAATATATATATATATATATATAAGCTGATCGTAGAATAACTTATTCTGTGACTACTCTGAGTTACGATAATTACCATGCTAATTTACGAGATTACAGTAACTCTTTACTAAATGATTTACTATAACATTATCGTAAATATCACTGTGAGTTGTAGTAACACGAGTATCGTAAATGCATATCCATGTTATCGTAAATTGGTATAAATATTATCGTAAATCAAGATGGCTATAGAATAAGTTATTCTATGGCCAGCTACAGAATAGCCTTACCCTATATATATATATAGCCAACTACAGAGTAGTAGTTATATATATATATATAACTACTACCCTATAGCTGGCTATAAAATAACTTATTCTGGTAGCCACTTTGAGTTACGATAATTACTATGCTAATTTATGAGATTATAGTAACTCCTTACTAAGTGGTTTATTATAACGTTATGATAAATATCCATATGTGTTATATTAACCCAACTATCGTAAATATGTATTGACATTATCGTAAATTAGTATATAAAATTATCGTAAATGGAGGTGGCTACAGAATAACTTATTTTATAGCTGGCTACTGAATATACTCTCCATATATATATATATATACCCTGTAGCTAGCTACAAAATAACTTATTCTGTAGCCACTTTGAGTTATGATAAGTACTATGTTAATTTATGAAATTATAGCAACTCCTTGCTAAGTGGTTTACTATAACGTTATGGTAAATATCCACATGTGTTATAGTAACCCAACTATCGTAAATATGTATTGACATTATCGTAAATGGAGGTGGGTACATAATAACTTATTTTGTAGCTGGCTACTAAATATACTATATATATATATATATATATATATATATATATATAATTATTATAGATAGATAGATGCTAATCTCTTTTTGTCCTGGAGCTGGAGGATCTTTTCTCAAAAGTCACGGCTAATAGTAATGCAAATGGCGTGCCAGACGCTAGCCACTTGCGTCTCCCCGTTACTAATTGGTGACACAATATAAGTTGGACAGAGAGACTTGAGACTTGTACTAGTATCAAATTGTCAAATTATGATTTGGTTGTACCAGTACAACTAAAACAAGCAATGATAGACTATGCTTCGAATCTTGGACTAGTAGTAACTTTGCACACGCTTGAGGAACTTTGGTGCATACGTCGCTTTCGTCAATTAGTTTTGGACGTCAAAATCTCTATCAGAGGCACCTCAAAGGGTTTTGGCAGGCTGGGAAAGAAAAGGCTGGTTTATTTTGGGCCTGACAATGTATGGGCTGATATGGGCCAGGCCCCTCGTTTCAACTTTGTTGGCACATTTTATTAGTCAGTGTGCATTTCCTTTGCAGTTTGTTCTTCCACTCAAAAAAAAAAAAAGTGCAGTTTGTTCTGTTTCGAAATACTAGTAGAAATCTAGAATGTAATGTAATGTAATGTCGTGGTAGATAGAATAGAAGCAGAATTAGCACTAGTACGTACGAGTACACTTACCAGCCGGTGAGCCAGGCGGCGAAGGGTCCCCAGCGGCGGTGGGTGCAGAGCCTGGCGCTCCAGAAGTAGAGCCCGCCGGAGGTGGGGTAGGCGGAGCAGATCTCGGCCATGGCGAGGCCCACGGCGACGGTGAAGGCGCCGGCGATGGGCCAGCCGTACACCATGGTCACCGGCCCGCCGAACTGGAGCCCCGTCCCGTACAGCGTCGTCACGCCCGTGATCACCGATATGATGGAGAAGCTCACGGAGAAGTTGGCCACCACCCTGCGTGTGCGTGACCGCAAGAAGGTAATTAAGCAGGTTAGTTTTGGGCCGAAATGGTTGCGGTATTCATTCATTCTATTTAGGCCCAGTTCTTTGAGCTTCAGGCTTCTCACTTCTGATGAGGCCTTTTTGCCTGCCATGCTACAAACAGCGGAGCGTATAATGTCGTCTAACTAACGTTACGTACATTGATCATTGGCTCGCTTACTCAAAGGAGCAGCAAGGACTGTACTAGCGTCTCCAATCAGTAAATGTCCACATGTGGCTGCCTGACTAGCTTGCCATCACGATCTCAGAAAATGGAAGGAAAAAAAAGCTGTATAATTCCTCGTCAGCGAGCCGTATTGCTAATACCTTTGATCAAATTTATCTAACAGAGAGGTTGCACTCGTCCAATCGACATCTACCGTAAAGAATTCTGGTACGTGTGGATTTATATATTGTGAGTTTGTGAGAGCGACCTCACGCGACATCCCATGAACACGTCGTACATGTACATCGATCGAACACGCAAGGCCTACTGGCACACAAAGCCCGCAACCGCAAGCAACAAATGATCCATC